TGAGGAATCGGACGGAAATCGATGCTGCCCTTTACCCAGTCAATCAACGGATTGTGTCGGGTGAGCCAGCTATATCCTAGAATGATGGAACAGGATGAGTCCAGCGGAGTAACATAAAATGTTTCGGAGGTAACCACGCCGGTCGGAAACCGGATCGGTAAATCTACTGCCTCAGTAATAGTGGCATTAGAAGTACCATCAAACAGATGGAGCGGAAGCGGAGGAATTGCATAGGTTGGAATGTTATTTTCTCGGATTAATCTGGTTTCTATAAAACAATGAGACGATCCACAATCTACAAGAGCCGGAAACGGAGAGATATCGGGAAAAGTAGAAATTGAAACGGATGGTACTAGAGAGTTCGGATCGGAAAAGGAAATAGCGTTGAGACGTAGCTCCATTGCACGGGTTGAGTCAACGCAACCCTTGTCCCGCGCGGAGTCAGGAGGGTTGCGGACTAATTTTTTGTCTCTTCCGAGACCTCCGGTTTGGCTTCCGGAGTCACCGTGCTAGCACGACCTTTGGCCGCACGGGAAGTGGACTTTAGGCAGTCCCGGGCAGTGTGACCGGGTCCGCCGCAGAAGAGGCAGAGCTTCTTCTCCATGCGCCTCTGGCGTTCCTCGGAGGTGAGTTTGCCGTCTTTTCCGAGCTTGGACGTCAAGTCCGGAAGTTTGGCGGAGGAGGAAGCCGAAGCGTTTCCGGATTTTCCGCCGGAGTACTCTTTCCGGTCGGAAGTGGAAGCTGACTGCTTAGCAGGAGGCGCGGATGCGGAGGGTTTGGTTTCGCGGGAGACTTCTCCCTTGCGTTCCCAGTATCGAGCGTCGATAGTCTGGGCGAGAGTTTTGTATTGGGACAGAGTGGTGGGTTTTCCTTGACGACTGATTTCGTCCTTGATGCGAGCCGGAAGTCCGTTGTAGAACTGACGGCGCAAAGCTCCGTCGCCCCAACCTCGGACTTGGGAAGCTAGCCGCTGGAACTCTACAACATACTTGTTGATGCGCTGTCCGTCGCGCATATAGAGCTGTTCCAGCTGCATTTCCGCATCTCCGACCGGGTCGTGAGGTCCGAAGTTAGTTTGGAGTTCTAACATGAACTCGGAGTAGTCATCCATCCAATCCGGACGATCCGCTAGATCATCCGAAAGGAGGTCCGGCTCAAACCATTCAAGGGCCATGCCCTTGAGGTATGATTGCGCGAAGTTGACCTTAGTTCGGCCGGTACGGAAAGATTTCGGCTTAGCTTGGAAGTTAAGCTCACATTGGACAAAGAACGCCCGGAGTTTCCGGGGCTCAGTGCCATCGAAGGTATCCGGTTCTCGGACTTTGACTTTAGGATCACCGGATCCGGAGGATTGGCGGTTGTTACGCGCCAGGTTATTGATGGCTTGGGATAGCCGGAGGAAGACCAAGTCTTGTGGACCTAGACCTTCGTTTTCATCGTCAGTCGGGTCTTCCGGAGGTTCATCATCCGGATCTCCGCCACCTCCTCCTGGCGGGTTACCGCCTAGGGCAAGTTCATCGTCGGAATCATTGTGCGGAAGATTTCCGGCGGGTGTGGGGGTGGGGGTAGACGGATGTGGGCGATTCATGAGTTGTGAGATACTGGAGGCAGCACCTTGCGCACTAGCGCGGCGCTGTGAGAAACTGAGGAAGGCATCGACTATGGGAGTAGAGTCGCGTCGGGCGGTTACAACTCCCGCTGCATTAAGAGCGGTCTGCGCCCGTGTAGGTGCCATGAAGTCAGATGTAAGTATACTCGGTAAGGTGTGAGTTCGAATATACTGTTAAGAACGTGCTCAAGGGTCGGATCCGAAGGGCTTGGCTTCAGCTTGTGCGCTGCGCCCCTTACCCGAGTACGTGCCCCTAACTTCCGAGGGTTGTTGAACGATGTCCGAAGGTTACCGGACGATGTCCGGAGGGCGTCGGGCGATGTCCGGAGTCCGATGTCCGATGCGCGGGAATTCTGGCGGACGTTCGGAAACAAGAGATAAGACTAATCCGGACGAAGTCCGAACTAGAAAGGAAACAGCGGAGGACTACCAGAGGTAGAGGCGGAGGTGTCAAGTCTATAGGAGTCGATCCTAAGACGAGCGGAGGTCGACGAGAGAGAAACTCAAGTCGGACGGAGGAGAGAATGAGCAGAGTCTAATATGATATTCGAACTGAGGAACTACAGAGATTGTACAGGGGTTTATATACTACTGAGGACATAACGGAGAATAGTAAGTGCAGTGCGAAGCTATGTAAAGCTATGAAGAAAACATATGGTACGACTATCACTAGTCTATCGGAACTTAGTAAAATGAAGACGGAGATGAATGAGGAACGGAAAATAAAGCGTACTAACTGATAAGGGAAATACCAAAGGGATAAGGCGCGGAAGTTAGACGCGGGTCGGATCCGGACGATACATAGAAGTCGGCCGGATCCGGAAATCCGGAAATGATGAGTGTGATAGGTCCGGGTCCGGAACGCGGGATATGACAGTGATACTGCAGATGGCTGGATTGATGAGGTAGCTAGACTCCCCATGGCTGACCGTAACAAACTTGAGGAAAACATAAGGCCTGTCAAGCTGGTGTTGGTTAAAGTCAGTCACTGAACCAAAGTCTTATAGGTGTTGTCATACTTACCTGAATGCTTCCACAGCTATGCAAGATCACATTCACACCCCTCCACTCAACAACACTTCTCCTGCCCTTGTGGTTTGAAATGCTCCAGAAGCTCAGCCTACCAGAATGGAAAATGCTGCGTGATGTAGCAACATGGTGGAACTCAACCTTTGACATGCTGGTGTTCGCAATAGAATATTAGTTAGCTATTGACAGTGTTACAGTGGACAAAAGTGCAAACCTGCGCAAGTTTGAGTTGGATAAGAATGAGTGGATCATTGCTGGACAGCTGGACAGCACGTTGAAGGTGCATGCATTTCTATTTTTGGGATTGATGTTGCACGTTCTCATTACAACTTAGATATTCAAAGATGCAACATTATTTTTCTCTCGTTCCACTCCCAGTCTTGCAACTGTGATCCCTGCAATGAATCACATTAACAAAATGCTCACCAACCACTCCCTTAATCGTGATTATGAACTATCAATTTGTGCTGCCCTAGGGATTGCCAAGAAAACACTCAACCACTACTACAATGCTACAGATCAATCTGAAGTATATTGCATTGCTATGGGTACAAAGTCTTTTTCTTTCAGAATGGTTATAACTACTAATGTAATAATGCTATCTATTGACAGTGTTACATCCCAGACACAAACTTAAATATTTTGAGCATGCTGGCTGGGAGCACGCCTGGATTGATACTGCAGAGGAGATTGTGAGGGATGTCTTCAATCAGTCCTATTCCACACTACATGCATCTAGTGTATATGAGGATATACCCACACCTGTAAACGAGCAGGCCAAGGTACATTTTGTTTAAACACTTTTGATACTGCTGGTGTGTAACTGATCTTCTATACTAGGTACTTAATATATTCGACGATCTGCCCTCCCTTGCTGCTCCATGTACTGCAGAAATGCTCAACGAACTTTCATGCTACCTCAGCACTGATCCAGAGCAAGTGAGGGATGTCCTTCTCTGGTGGCATGAGTGAAAATCAGTATACCCTTGTCTATCCTGCATGGCACTCGACTACTTGTCGATTCCCGGTGAGCTACTAACTTATACTATGGCAATGGTGTTGTCTTATTAACAACATCAGTGATGCCAACCGATGTTGAGCGTGTTTTCAGTCAGAGCCACCTCATTTTGTCTCATGTTCGTAACCGGTTATCTGCACAGTCAATGTGTGCTCTCCTCTGTCTTGGAAACTGGAGTCTGCTGGGCTATGTGAAGAACAAGGACATTACCGCTATCACAATTCTACCAGAGGTTGCAGGAGATGACAAGGAGCTTGAAGAAGGCTGGGACATCATAAATTAATTTTTTCAATTTGTTTCATGCTAGTAGTGACTCGGATAACTACAGACTTGTGCTTAGTGTTATTGGTGTACCTGTGGGTATGGGTATGGGTTTTCATAGGTAAGGGTACAGGTATAGTCAAAAATACCCATGGGTTACCCATGCAGAACACTAGCAGGTTGCCAAGCACAGTTTCCAAATCTCTCTCGACTTGCCCGCGATGTCCTTTCAATACCTGCATCAGGAAAAAGCTCGCCCATCATTTGCATCCTGCGAGAATACATAGCACCACATAGCCTCTATAGCACAACAGGGCACCCCCACAACATTCAGTAGCACTACATAGCGACCTGTAACTCAACCTAATGGCAACTGAGGCTATGAAATTGATCTCGCACATAGAAGACAATGTTGTGCCCTATAATACTATCAGCATTACACCAGCTATGCTATGACAGTCGCTCAAACAACTCTAAATCAATGTACCTATTCAAATAGAATTCTTCTGACCCATCTCGACTGAACTGGGGAACAAGGTGACAAGGGCGCAGAACTTGATTCACGGGTAGAACAGCTGCATTAGGTCCCCGCTGCCATGAAGACCTCGTGAGCTTGAAACTCTGCAAATTATCGTCGAATGTTTGAAGTGGCCGGAACCAATGGATGTATGCAAGGGGGTGGGGAAAATGTCCGAAACGTGATGGGAGGTCAAAAATGACCTTCACTTCACCAACGCACAGACCTAAGTCACTAGTGAGCAAGCATAGACAATTATAAAACAATAACACATACCTGATATTCCCTCCCCAGTGTACCGGTCCTCATCTTCAATCACAAGCACCGTGTCGAAGTGTGCAGGAGCTGGCCCTTTCCTTGCATCCTTCGACGGAATGACTGGCACTGCGTGTACCTTGAATAAACATTTGGCATTGTTTACATGTGGTCGTGGGGGGGAGAGCACCTTCAGGTACTTGTACACATCAACCCAGTCTTGTGGTGTAAATTTTCGGTGTGTCTGAGTTTGCAGGTTGTGACGGACAAACTCTTCGAGAGCGGGAATGAAGGCGGAAGCACCGTGCTCATCAATTAACCGCTGAATTGTCGAGTTTGGAAAGGGGATTATCCGGGGCACAAGGCACTGCTCTGAAAAATCAGCAACATACACTGCCACAATGGGATGCAACCACCTGACTTGATGATCAGGGCATGTGACATCCACTCTGTCCGTTCCTGCACTGACCAATGGCTCCAGGACCTGTGTCATGCAGTAGTGGAAGAGATGATAAGGTTCAACAGAACATGTATCTCGCTTGAAGCATTCTAACTTTGAGATTGGTAAGTACGCGATTAGGATGGCTGCACGTTTGGATGGCTGACAGCAGATCTCTTTTGAGATGTTTCCGAGGGTCAAGTACATGGGCCACACCTCCTGGTCTCCCCGGAACTGCGACAATGAAGTCTTATCAGATGCCAGGATCACTGGCGCAACAACAGCCCCTGGAGGCAATCTTCCCTGTAGGAATGTCTTTAGTGCATTTTTTTTCACTCTTTGGAGACACCCGCACTTACCTGCATCTCCCACCACCACTCACCAGTCCACATCTCATCAAACATGCAGGTCTTTCCCTCCTCATCTGCAAAAACCCTCTCTGGTGTGTATGACACCATGTTTTTGAATTCTGAGTTGCCCATGAGCTCACGGATACAGTCTACAGGGTCCCGTAACCACAGTTCGAGCTCTTCACTTTCCCGTTGGCCACTATTGCTGACTATGTTGCCTTTGACAGTTATTTTCTTTAACATCCACTCGGTGCCTCGGGGAAGCTGATCAACAGCTTTCATCAAGGTATATTTACTTGTGAAGGAAGTATTCATGTGGCCAGTCTGTTCCATGTCCTTGTAAGTGTCTCTCAGTTGTTGCTGCAAGTTTGACAGCTCACAATGGGTAGTTTAAAGAACTCGTCAATTGCCATCTGACCTACTCTCGCAATCAGCCACTTCACCAGCCCCCACTCCTCTTCATCTGCAAAGGGTGCCCACGTATCTAGGCCTAATGCTTCTTGTTCCACTCTGATGCTCTCAAATAATGTCTCTGCTTGTCCGAGCGTCCTCGCTACTTGTCCAGGGTACGTCTGGATAAATCGCATCCAAACTCTTTCCTCGTCTTCAACTTCTTCAACATGGACATGATGATTGGGTGGAGGGGATCGTGGTGGCATGTCTTGAATGACATCCACATCATAATCAAATATGAAAGGTATGTCTCCATCGACATCCATATTGTGCATCTCATCATTGACTTGTGCGCGGACCCCTTCCATACGGTCCTTGCAGGCAGGTGCATTTGCGATGTGACTACTAACAGCCCGAGAACTTTTGAAGCTTTTCAGGCAGAAATTGCAGCAGTCAGACATGGGCAAGGAAGGGCAACAAATGAGCCGACAAAGCCGACTTCCAAGTGAGTGACACTTATTCCAGTTCATACAATGATTCAGACTAATCTTTGGCAGGGAGGACACAAATAGCTGACAAAGCCAAGTGAGTCGACATGTGAAATTAGGACATGTTGATTGACCAGTGACCAGTGTGACTCCACGCATCAGACATGTCCTATTCTATAAAATGGTAAGATCTTCATTGCTTGCTACTATTCCCACTCTCATCTCTGCCTTTAGAATGTCTTCGACAGGACCCAGTCGCCAAGCACTCGCTAGAATTATCAATAATGTGGACACTGCTCCCTCACAGCGCAAACAATGTGAGCACCGTCCCTCGGAGAAGGCACTATATCAAGGTATGTCTGGTGTTTTATCTCATTTGTACAATCAGATCTGATTGTGTCTTGGAGTTTTCGTCACATAATGTCTCTCTGTCCCAAGCGCCGGTCGCCAGCGCACTGGATCTAAGGCCACGTTTCAGCAAGGTGCCTCCGCAAGTAAATACACCCTCTCGTGGTTGGCAAGAAGATGCCCTTACAAAGGTAAGACTGTCTGATGACTTCAGATTGTGGATGCTAACGGGTATGACTTGCAGGAGTCTGGCTTTGTTAATAGTACTAATCACACTCGCACACCCATCCATCACACATTGCCACCAAAAGCTCGATCTGAGAATACTGTAAGTGGGTTAATCTTGAGTTCAACTCTAAGTGTGCTGATTGATTGAAAGCCGCAGCGAAGACTCAGCACCGCTCGTGCAAAAGAGCTGATGCAACTTCGGCAGGCACAAAATGCACATACGGCCCCTATAGATGACACAGGCAACACTTCTGGGGAGAATGAGCAGCCTTATGGACTCGGAGATGGTGATGGCCAGGATACTGATGTCGATGAGTTTGACAGTGGGACCGCTTACATGGAGGATAACCATGTGTCTGATAATGAAGGTAAGTAGTGTTCCATCATTTGAATAGCATCTGAACATGTTAGTAGATTCACGCCACGACTCGGGCTATGTTTCATCTTCTAGCTACAAGGGTGATAGACCACACAATCACAAAAGGAAGCGCAATGCCAAGGATTTATCAGAATATTTTTTTTCCCCACAATCACATGAGCCACGATGTCCATGCAAAGTCCACAAGAGTAAGGGTCGTGTAGCAGCGCGTGACTATGAAGTTGCAGTCCAGCAACTCATCAAATTCGCCATTGGTGATTTTCATGGACGGCTCGCATCTCAGTACGCATACCCAGATCGCATGACTCAAGTGTTATGGGCCAAAGAAGCTTGGAAGGAGGCCTGCGTGTCGCATGACATTGAGATAGGATTCAATGGAGAGATAATACAGATGGTATGTGTTTTGTCTCTATTCATACAGCTGCCTAATCTTTCACTCGAGATCACCTGTCGCACGTCACATCTCACAGGTGAGGTGAAAGCTAAACTTCGCCCGCTTGCTGAGAGCATTTATGGGTTTGACTGCAGTACAAGAGAATCTGTCAAGTCTAAGAATCGCCAACTCGTGCAGGACCTCAAGGATAAATTTGGCCTGTGTTACCAGGTGAGTAGTAGGCAATATTCCTCATGTCATCACACTGACATTCAATTCAAAGGATCTTGGAGACAAAAAGAGCAATGTTCCTCGCAGTGGCCTCTTTTGGATGAGGTTGAATCAGAAGGGGGCCAATTTGATCTGGTACCAGAACAAGAGGGACGAAGGGATCATGTTTGATAAGTATTTCACACCATTTCCGATTCCTGCACTGGCCTTGTTATATACTGCAGTGAGTGACAAGCTTGGCTGGGGGCTATTAGGTTCACATGGTCGCTTTGTTGACTGCAGGCTGAGTGCTGTGTGGATGAATAGGCTGATGGAGAGTGCATCGACATCTGTTTTTCGAGCGGCGAGTACAAAGCTGTATATGACAAACACCTTGCCAATCTCAAGAGATTTCAAGTGCAAACGAAGGACCATGGCATACTTGATACGATACTCAAGGACATCAACAACAGCGGCAGGTGAGTCTTTTGAGAATTTTGTCATCATGAGTCTGACTCACACACTGCAGGTCGCATGCTAGAGTAGATCCGACCGACATTCCACAGGGAGGCTGCTTGTCCGACAACAAGATCAAGAACACCATTCGGGAGCACCAGCAACAGGGCGACAACACTGGGAACGAGAGTAATGATTCAGATGAGCTTGATGGTGGATTTGAAGATGATGAAAGCGAGCGCAGATAACAGCTTATTTTATTATGTTATAGTGCTATTGAATGGATGTTGCTATTGCTTCTATTTGTTCGAGTGCGGCAAAAAACAATCACTATGATCTAAGCTGGATGGTATGGTAGGCTATGTAGCACTACATAGCAAGACTACATAGTCAACATGCAAGGTACAGGACACAATATTGTGCAAAAAGTCAGGTAGCCTGTGGTATATAGCGCTATGTTGAGGGGGGGGTTGCAGCCTAGCAACATTTACTCCGTGGCTTCTGTAGCACTATGTTGCATATCACATTTTTGCTGATGTGGTGAGTCCTTACTCCATGTTCCAGGTGTCTATACTTAGTTCTCTTCATAGGATCAGCTGTTGCTGTTGAACACATTTTCTCCAGTGGTCGTGACACAGTTTCACTACGGCATGCAAGTCTCAAGCCTGAGACTATCAAAATGTTGATGCTCATGAAGGCAAGGCTTCGTTTGGGTCGTTTATAGTTGATTTACACTCCTTGTGTACCGTACTCTACTGTATACGTCCGTAAAATACTCCATACTGTACCATTTGCTTCATCCACCAGCAATGCCACGTATGGTATACGGGGAACCCATATACCATACCTTTACCATATGTGTATGGCCATCTACCGTCGACAGTACGGTGTGCAGCCCTACAGTACAGTAGCTGCAACAATGAGTGCAGATTCTTCATCATCAATCACTTTGTCTCTATGTCATTTTGCAATGCTTGATATTGATATAAAATGTCATTCCATGGACCTCTGGTTTGGTTTCTTGTACAGAATATCTGAATGTGTAACTTGAAAAATGATTTTCAAAGTCCAGTATATGATAGTCCACATTATTTTGCCTACAGGAAGTCACCCAATGTTCAATATTTTGCTTACAGATTATGGATTTAGCTCAACTAATTATAGCTCGGGCCACGGTGCCTAACATACTAAAACACTCAAAGCTGCAAATGACAATGCACCTAGATTAAATCTGGGGGTATTCGGAGTCCTATTGCCCGTCTTTCCACCATTTGAAGCCCCGATGGCTCCGATCAAATATCTCATTCAACATTTATATCATGGCTCATCTAACATTATCTAACACTTTAAACCCATACATATTAGAATATCAGAATGTCATCACCATCAACCGCGCCGTCATCATCACCCTACGGCATGGGGGGTCTTTGTGACATCACAGGCAACATTCCTGAACTCGCGGGTTCAATTTTCCAGACCAAAAACGCTGGGCACAAGCGAGAGATGCAGACGTATATGGTTGGAGGATTTTCCCGTTGTACTTGGTGGCAGGCACTGACTTTTTTGTTATAAGATGGCGCTCGATGGAATCAAAACAGAAGCTGATAAGCAGGACACACTGTTCACGAAATTATGCATCGAAACAGTGCATTCGAGCTACCTTGCGGCGCAGAATCGTGTGCGCCAGTACACCCAATTTTTGACACTCCTAAAGCGTGAGGAGGATGCATGGGCACAGAGGGCTAGCAGGGCGTGTTATCTAATGCCGGATTACAAGCCTGGCAGTCACTCATTCTAGAAGGAACACTCCAGTCTTTTAAACCTTTCTGTAGCAAACTTGAAGTTCATAGCCTCAAGACATTTTATCTTAGCAGGTGATCGCTTGTCTTGTTCTTTATGTTTCCATATATCGTACTACTCCGCTTATCTACATTCCGCTATCAACTATGTATTGGATCTGAACCCGACAATGTATCTCTTGCTTGCTCTCGGAAGTTATGCTTGACAAATGACTTGTCAGGAAAATTATTAAAACTGTATATGGCAATGTCTGAAAGAGGACTTGCGAAATCAAACTGTCGCACGCAGTATCATTGCCGCCTGCCTCAGGCTCAGGCTGAGCTTGAAGCCAAGTCAGATGCGTCTTTCTCAACTGCCTTGGCCCGGGATTGTGTTGCTTATCGTCGTCGTCTCAATGGTGCTCTGCGGTGCACCACATTGCTCTTGGGAGAGGGGTACAGATTTTCGCGGACTTAGCAGACACCGCTCGGTCTGCAAACACTTTCAGAAGGCAAGCACATTAGCTACGGAGAGAAGGCGAGACCGGGCAAGAGGGTCCATTCAAACCTTGCAAAAGTCCTCGCAGCTCACAACTACTAGTGGTACTGTTCCTAGTGTAAGTCTCTAACTTCATACCGTACTATTTACCCTACTAAACCCTCGTGTGACTCTCTTACCTCCCATCACAGCTTGGGCCGATCCAATTTACCAAGGATCGTTGCTTGAAACCCATAGCTCATTGCGAATCCGGGGTATCTACCAGTAGTAGCTTCGAGTCCGGGTCGTCACCTGGGCCTACTATCGCCCCAGGCAGCACTGCTCACGCTACTAATACTTCGACCTTTCAATTTCAAGACCCCCAAGTTATCGACGTTGCAATGGAGGACACTGGTGAACGGGCCCATAACATCCGAGGTGTGAAGCTTGTCATCGTCTTGTACATAGCACTCACCAATTTCAAGCCAATCTAGTTCTACATCCCTCACGACAGAACCTTGGGCCGATCCCAAGAAATTTTGAAGACATTCTACCTGCTGATGAAGACATCAACATTTCGGATGCTTCTTGGAATCCTCCCGCGACCGAAACTCAGAATCTGCCTCAGCGCAGAATCCAAAGAGTCCTTTTGACTCTACGGGATTCTCTTCAGACCGCGCTCAATGCCTTTGGACTTTATCGACAGTATCCTAGGCGGCCTTCCTTTGAGCCTGATAAATATATCCCGTCTTCGCTACTCGCTAAGTCCTGTCCAATGGCTACTGACGCACATTACGCCCAAAGGCCTGATACATCTCCCAAACCACCTCATCCCTTCCCCAATATGACCACCTACCGCCTCATGACTTGGATGAACTCTGGAAGTCATCATAAATCGGAGGCTGAGGTGTCGCGCCTGGTGAAAGATGTGATTCAAGCGGACGACTTTAATCCAAGGGACCTCGATGGATTTTCTGTGAGGAAGAGCTTACATGCATTAGACCACGACGATGACGGAGAAAAGGGGACTTGCGCTTTTCCAGATGACTGGTTAGAAGCTTATATCACTCTGGACATACCTACTAAGTCAAGAGATGACCCTTCCGAGTCGTTTACTGTTCCGGGGTTTCATTATCGACCGCTCCTAGGAGTCATCCGCTCCGTATTTACCGACGTCCAAGCTAACGCGTTCCACCTACTTCCTTTCAAGCGACTGTGGAAGGATCCTCTCGATGACAGCCATCAACGGGTATTCGATGAACTGTACACGTCTGACTCATGGCTACAGGCTCAGGATGACCTACAGCGGCAGCCGAGAGAACCGAATTGCACACTGGAGCGTGTTATTGCTGGACTCATGTTCTTCTCTGATGCGACTCATCTCGCAACCTTCAGAACGGCGAAGGCTTGGCCCCTTTACCTATACTTTGGAAATCTAACCAAGTACGCACGCTCAGCACCTAAATCTGGTGCATGTCATCTTATCGGGTTTCTACCTTCGGTACGTTAACAGTCTCCAGCTTCGTAGGCATCTCTCATGTTAGATTTTCAGCTTCCGGATAGTGTCAAGGATGTCCTCAGCAGCTTACCTCGGATATTGAAAACCGGGATAGCTGCTCTTCACACACATTGTCGGCGGGATTTATTTCATGCCTGTTGGAAACACTTACTGGACGCAGACTTCCTTGAAGCATACCGTCATGGAATTGTGTTACAGTGTCCGGATGGTATACTGAGACGAGTATTTCCACGCATATTTACTTACTCCGCAGATTATCCAGAAAAGTGCGTACTTTTTACTTTGTCTTCCTCATTGAAATAAAACTCAACTTCCTAGGGTTTTGATAGCAACAATAAAGGACATGGGATCTTGCCCGTGTCCGCGCTGCCTCATGCTGAAAGCCTCCTTCTATCTCCTGGGCCTGTTGAAAGATATGCGAAGTCGTATAGGTAACCTCCGAACTTACTGTCTGGACAGGGTAACAAGTGCCCGGGGGTTCATCTATGGGTTGGGAAATACCGTCGATGGTTCAAAGGTGCAGGCAACTCTGGGAGAAGGTTCATGGGTGCCGACGGTGGTGAGTACATCTGAATTCATCAGTGTTAGATTACTGCCTGACTTTCTACCAGAACGCTTTTGCAGAAAAACTGGGACATCTAGGATTCGACACCTTTCGCATGCTGGTGGTCGATTTCATGCATGAATGTGAGCTGGGCACCTGGAAGGCCTTTTTTACCCACCTCATCCGCCTACTCTATGCATGTCCGGGTGGTGAACACCTTGTCGCAACTCTTGACAACAGGTTCGTCCTTCACCTTTATTCTCCGTATTCATTTGATAAGTGATGACACTAAAACTAGATTTCGTCATGTTCCGTCATATGGTAATGGAATCATACGGACATTTTCAAACAACACTTCAGAAATGAAAAGACTCGCAGCGAGAGATTTTGAGGATATCCTACAGGTATGTCGCATTCATCGAGTTGAGTTGTAGACGTGCGCTGTTGACACCTATCTCAGTGCGCTATGCCAGTCTTCGAGGGGCTTTTCCCGGAAGGCCATGATGAGCTGGTACAATCTCTTTTGTACAGGTTTGCCTTATGGCACGCCCTGGCCAAATTAAGAATCCATTCCGACACTACGTTGTCAGTTTTAGAGGAGACCTTCAAGCAGCTCTCCCGTCAATTACGCAAGTTCCGAGACATTACCTGCGCTGCTTTCACTACCTTGGAGCTACCAAAAGAAAAAGCCGCTCGAGATCGCAAGGCCGCCCGTGAACGCTCATGTGCCAACAACCCAGACATTACGAGCAGCGGCCGAAAGACTAAGAAATTCAATTTGAGTACTTACAAATTTCACGCCATGGGCGATTATCTCCAGTCAATACGGCTCTTTGGAACCACAGACTCCTTTACCTCGCAAATTGTAGGTGGACGTCTGCTGTACTATTGTCTTCCCATCTTAATTTAATTTCGGGCAGGGAGAGTTGGTGCACAGAGCTTTGAAGGCCTTCTACCCATTAACAAATAAACTAGATACCCCAGCACAGCTCGCCAAGCATGAGCGTCGTCGTCGTGTCCTTCGGCGTGTCGCAGAGTCAGACCACAGTCTATACGCTAGCAAGCAGGTGCCGGTCGACTTGCCTGTAGGATTCAAAGATCACCACCACATACCGAAGAACTACAATAACCCACTCCATATCTTCACTTTTCTTCGAGATCATGGTGATGATCCGGCTGTAGCAGTAGGTCCTGGCTCCTCTTATTGTTCATATCGTTCATGATAAGGCGCAGGCGTTCATACCGAGGCTTAAGGATCATATACTATATCGTCTGCGAAAGTTAGACATCAGCCATTGCGACCACGTGTTCACGGATGACGAGCGCAATTCTGTCATAATATCAGACAGTAGACTATACTCAGTCCAGACCATGCAGGTATTTGATTCACCCCTTGAGTCTTGCTAGCCCACTCAGGTTAGAGTTCGCCCTCATAGGTCCATTACACAACCTATGACCTTCGACGGGAGTACGACACCGTCAATCCTCAGACACACTGTGATATTATGGTATTATCCGGTGAAACCAGGCCACAACATCCATATTGGTATGCCCGGGTTCTCGGCATCTATCATGTAGATGCATGGCTAAGCGTCGAAGCTACAATGAAACGACACCAAATTGAGGTTCTTTATGTTAGATGGATGGCACCCTTGGCAGACCACCGGTCAGGCATGCCTTGCGCTAAGCTGCCAAAGGTCGCTTTCGTTGACGAGTCCGACCACGATGCCTATGGCTGGCTTGATCCAGGTCAGGTCATCCGAAGTGCGCACCTTATTCCAGCTTTTGCCTCTGGGCGCGGAACCACCTCCCTTCGCTACGGAAAATCATTCGCTCGTCAGAGTGGTGACTTAGATGATTGGGAGGCATACTACGTTGGAATGTAAGTGCAACCTCCAATCCTGCTATCCTTACTCAAGCTGCAGCTCGCTCAGTTTTGTTGACCAGGATATGCTTATGCGTTATACACCTCATGGCATAGGGCATCCTACGGTCGTGCGGGAGATATTACGAAATTGCGCCAATGCGGAACTCATGGACAGCGCACCGTGCGAGCATAACATTCAACCCTGCGAGGCCGATGTTGAGCAAGGTGAGAGTGACGACGACGATGAAGAAGAAAGTGATGATGGTGACGATGACGATGATGGTGAGGAGTCCGATGTTCAGGATTCAGATGATCGGGAGATGGAAGATGGTGAAGGCGAGGAAGATGATTTCGTGTCCCTCTGATTCACTACGATCGTCGAAGCTCAATGTACCTGGTGCCACTTTAATAGGAGGACCGGTGATCTATTCTGTCCGGCTCTCAGGCCACTAGTACAAAGGTTTCACGCACTGAGCCTCGCTGTCAGGATATAAGAGCTATCTGATTTGATTCACTAGTACAGATTTGAGACGAATAGTGACTAGATAAAAGCAAGTCATAAGCTAAAGCGCCCTCAGATCGGAACAGACATGAGCCATGTACACCAACCCT